AGAACTTAATACATAATCCAAAATTAAAGTGAATTAACATCATGTCATATAAGTGGTGTTTCATGACTTGCATGCTGTTACTTAGTAACTTAATCCTGTGCGGCTAAAGTTTCTTGTTATTCCTGTTAACATAATAATGAATGAGTTTGATATAGAGATTTTTTTTCAAATAAATATGTTGCGTACTAATAAGCCTTGGGTTCCATAGTGAATTGGATGACACGGTTTATAAATTTGAAGTATAAATACTTTACTTTCTGGAGGCTAAGTATGTCATTTTTATCTGAGAGTCAGATATTTCTCATTTCAGTTGTCGCCAACACCTGTCAACTGTCCAACGCACTATTCAGGCCAAGAGGAGTACAAGAGTAAAATTTTCTTTCAAAATCTAGGAGTTCACAGATATGGCCAGGGTTGTCAGCCCACTACTGCAGTGATTACTTTTTATTGCCATTGTGGTGTGCCTAATGACAACACCTTAGATATAATCTGACAAATGCTTTTCAACTATGAAGTAAAGCAACTGCTGATCCAGGAGCTATAAAAAGTGCTGTGGAGCTCCCAGGCTTGGGCCCTAATATTACTACTTTATTAATTTATTAACATAAACTTATCAGGGCAGAGGCTAGGGGAGGCAAGTGACTTGCATAGGGCGCAAAGTTGAAGAGGGCAACCACTCTCATGTTCCTTCAAGTACTAAACCTGCACTTGTATAATACAACTCTGTTGTTGATAGCATACCAACAAATGTGTACGGCAAGAAAACGAGTCTCAATAAGTCTGAAGGAATAAAAATCATGTCATATCTGTTCTCCAGCCCTCACAAAATTAAACTAGAAATAAGCAGCAGAACAATTTTGAGAAATCTCCAAATATTTGAAAATTAAACAACAAATTTCTAAAGTAACCTGAAAGCCAAAGAAGAAAACAACTACAATGGAATCCTATTAAAATTTATTAAACGTAGTTAAAACAGTGCTTCAAGGGAAGTGTACAAAGTTCAACATTTTGGAAAAGAAAAAGCTCTCAAGTCAATATTTAAGCTTCTACCTTAAATAAATGGAAAAAGAAGAGCCAAGTAAATTCAAAGCAGGCAAAAGAAAGGGAATGGTAAGATTTGCACGGAAATCGTTAAAACTTCTCAGAGAAAATCAATGAAACAAAACATTGATTTTTGAGAAAAATAAAATGGACAAATCTTAAGTTGGAATAGAAAACTAAAAACAAAGTAAGACACAAATTAGCAAAATCAGCATTGAAATTGAGGACTCAATAATGATCATTCAAAATTTAAAAGATCATTAGGAAATACTAAGAACAGCATTATGCCAACAAATTTGGCCACTTAAATGAAATGGATAAATTCCTAGATAGATGCAAATTACTAATAGTGCTTTAAGAAGAAAGAGAAAATCTATATAGACCTACCAACTATTTAAGATATTAGTACCAGTCCTCAGAGACTTTACTTTTCAGAAAATATAGAAGAGAGGAGAACACATATGACCTCATTTTATGAGGCCAGTATTACCCTCATACCAAAACTAAAGACAAAGATGTTACAAGTAAAATAAATAAATAAATAAAGATCGCTATCATTTATGTATATAGATAGGGAATACTCGACAAAATATGTGCAAATCTAATCCAGTAACATAAAAAATATTTTTATACTCTGACAAAGTAGGATTTTTCCAGGAATGCAAGATTAGTTTAACAACTGAAAATTCAGCATAGTAATATAATAAAAGACAAAACCCACATAATCATATCAATAGTTGCCAAAAAATTTTCACAAAATCCAATACCCATTCATTATAAAAACTCTTATCAAATTAGAAAGAGAATAAAATTTCTTAATCTGGTAAAAAGCATCTATGACAAATGTCTAGTGAACATAATACTAATGGTGTCAGACTGACAGCTTTATCCCTAACAATGGGAACAAGGCAATATCTACTTTTCCATTTCTAATCAGCATTGTACTTGAATTTTAGACTATTTGATGAGTAGAGACACACACACACACACACACACACACACACACAAATACTTAAAGACAAACAGATTAAAAGGAAGAAGTATAATTTTTTATTCACAGATGCCAATATCCCCTATGTAACACACACACACACACACAAATACTTAAAGACAAACAGATTAAAAGGAAGAAGTATAATTTTTTATTCACAGATGCCAATATCCCCTATGTAGAAAATCCTAAGGAATACAACAAGAGCTACCAATACTAGTAATGACTTCATAAACTTTGCAGACTAAAAGAAAATATACAAAAATCATTTGTTTCTATACATTAACAGCAAAATTTCAAAAATAAATTTAAGAAAACAATTCCATTTACAAGACCATCAAAAGGAAAAAATACTTAGATATGAATTTAACAAATTAAATGCAAGACTAACTTAAAACTACACAACTTTGCTGAGAAAAATAAAAGAATATGAAAAGAAATGGAGAGACGTCGCATATGCATTGATTGGATTTCAATCTTGTTAGTATGGAAATTCTTCCCAATTTTATCTATTGATTTAATAAAATCCCTATCAATATTCCAGTAGATTTTTGTGTAGAGATCGAGAAGCTAATACAAAAATTTATATGGAACTGCAAAAACAAAAATGTCCATAGAGCAAAATAATTTTTCAGGCAAAAAAAGGGAAAGTTGGATGACTGCCCATTTTCAAAACTTACTATCTACTTATTTACATTTGTATATTTATGTATTTATCTGGAAACTGTGTTATAGCATATAGAAAGGTATATATATCAGTGAACAGGTATATATCAGGACAAAATTGAGAGGGTCGGAAATCAACTCTTATATTTATGGTCAGTTTTAACAATAGTGGATAAAGCAATTATTACAAATGAGGAAAGGACCATCTTAAAGAACAAAAAGAGCCAGGACAATTATTTATCTATATGCAAAATATGTAAAATAATGTAATCATTATCTCACACCATATAGAAAAATAAATTCATGTGGATTAGAGATCTAATTGTAAGAGCTAAAAATACAAAA